GGGTTAAAAAGTCAGTTTACAAATTACCTTCCACTTCAACTTCTGTATTTATTAAAGTGCTGTCAGTGCATACCAGGATGTAAAGAACAAAGAGGAAGACAATCTCAGTCCAAAGAATTTAGAATCTAAAATGGACAGACAGACCCTAAAATAGAAATATCATACAAATGCAAGGAAGATTCTCAGACTGGTACACCACCACCAATGGTCTTAGCAGAACTTGTGTTGTTCTAAAGGAGAAAATTTCCTATATGCAACAAAAGGTAAACAGCAACTGTAATATCACAGTGAGGAACACTACAGGTCATCTCTATTCAGTCTTCAATAGTAACTGCAATATTATTCTGCACTCCTTATTTCTCCACATAAGATATCTGAAATGGGTTTAATATATTATATAGTCTTATGTGCACGCTGAACAATGCAATACAATACAATTCACTTTTACAGAGCATCCTTAATGCACAAAATTATAAAAGGTTCATCAAGAAAGCACATCACCTACTAAAGCAAAAAGGAAAAACTTGCAGATACAGTTGAAGAGACCAGATTTAATTCTGGCTTGAAGAGGAATGATGAGTAATCATTGGCACGGTCTCTCCAGGCCGAGGTCACAGGGCTGATCATACATTTCACTGATGTGATAGCTACTGTCCCCTAGAAATGTGATTTTACTTCAAAAAGTAGCTGTAACTTCACATCCAAGGCAGTTTGTCCGTCTCTGCAGCTCCCACCTTTCCTCTTCTCCAGTACTCCCAACGCTCATTACCTTCCTTTCTTGCTTCCTCTGCTTGCCTCTTTAGCTGTTGCTCCAGCTTCATCCCCATGCTGTTCATCCATTGCATAGTGTTTTTTTCCTATTAGCCACCTGACTCATCCAGCTACCTCCTTTGTCTGCAGGGCTGGTTCAAGCAAATCTGGGGCCCCTAACAAAGTCGTTCAATTAGGTCCCCAGCTAAAAGGCCCAAGGTCCAGCATATGACCTGATCAAAATTCCTATGCCATACTAGACATGGAGGGTTTCATCAGTCCCAGAGGAAGCAGGGAATAGGCACTGTATCCAGAACTGATGTGTACATTTGTGGAGAGAGTTAAAAACACAGTGAATAGAGAGTTCTTGTTAAACAGGAAAAAAGTGTGGGAGCCTGTGATGTGCCTGAGCGCTAATATAGGAGAAAGCATCCTGCTTTTATAGGCATATGCACTAGTTACAATCCCCACAGAACACTTGGCAATAAGCGATTTGTGTTTCACACCATGCGGCACTGGAACATTGGCCGTAGATATCACACAAGCAGTAGTACCCTCTCACTGTACCCTCATCCCTTCATGCCCTCTGCGGTTGTAGATTTGGCAGCACTGCCTGTATTAGCCCTTCTCACCTACTTCCCTCCCAGCTACCACTGATCTTTCCTACCCCAGAACCTTTGGGATAAGATCCAGTTGTGAAAGGATTAACTGTTTGATTCTATGAGACCAGACTTTCAGATATGACCCTTAGCATTAGGAAACAACTCTCTCTGACAAAGAGTTGAGAAACAAGTGTGTGCTTAAGCATCAATAACATAATTCAGGGGTTGCTATTTATAACAACTGATAGCTAAAGAGAAGCAGAGTAGAAGTGAAATAAAATATAAACTTCAGATGGTCAAAGTTCAACTGTTAGTCAAACATTCTTGCCCTTCTCCTCTCTTGTCCTCGACAAGTCAAACACCTCCTTTACCAGAACGAGCAGGAAGACAAGCAAAGACAGAATATACTCTTGTGGGAACAGTCCTGAAATAATAGGATGGATCAGAGCTAACCCTCCTTTCACTTCTAATGTCTAAGATTCTATTATACTTATTGGAGAGAACTTTATAAAGAGCCCTATGAAATGTACTGCATTCTTTATAACAATACATATTGTTCTGCTCATCTTATGCAGGCTTAATGTATAAATTGTATACATCTCATTAACAGACAAAGACATTTTAAATGAAGTAGCAAATATTCCCCTTTGTTTATTGAAAACTCTCTGCAACTTGAAGCAAATTTCATGGGTGAAGCCTAAGATAATATGTGTAACATGCTCTATTTTCATTGTATAAGCTTCTCATTAAAGTTTAAAATGTGCCTTTTGTTTCTGCCACAAAACATGGCAAGACTGGAAAAAAATTAAAAAAAACATTTTGCTTTGTAGTCATTTTGTGATTAATTACTTGCTTAGTTATGGATCATAAACAGGTGCAGGAAGTTACTTGGGAAATAATGCCCATTTTTGTAGGTGACAAATGTTCAGTTACTAAATAAATACCTAATATATATATATAAGCCAAATTATAATGGATCCCTCTTAACTCTTCTGATTTTATCAGGTTAAAAAAAAACCCAAACAAAAAAAAAACACCTTCAAGGACATGTACATGTAGCTTTTTCAGTGCTAAAATTGTGTCAGGGCTGAGACTAGGTGGGTTAAGATGGGCCCTCTGTCTGAAGGAACTCCCTCTAGTTCCAGCAGCTGAATGCCAGTATTGGTCTGCAATTTAGAGATGAACAGGGAGATGGAGAAAAGACAAAGGTTTTCTTTCTTTCTGGGGGGGGAGAGGGAAGGGGCAACCAGTAGAATTCATTCTAAACTGCAAAAAGGATTCAGAATTCCTAAAATAAGTCTGTGTGTATTCACCACACTTTGCTATGAAAGTGATACACTTCAGATTTGACTTGCGAAGAGTTCACTTTAAAAAAAGCAAACGTAAATAGGCAGGGTAATTTTGTATTAGTGTGATAAGCTGAAAAGAAATGTTCATGCTGTGTAAAATTCAGATCATGGATTTCTAGCGTTCATGAGCTCTGGGTCTGAGGACATACCTGTCATTGGAACCATTTTAAGACTGGAATTGGACTAACAAGGTTACATCTGAATTTTTTTAAAAATGTGTTATTAATTTGTATTATGATAGCATTTATAGGCCCCAACTAAAATTAGTGATCCATTATACAAACACATAGTAACAGGCAGCCCCGAAGATTTTAATATTTAAATAAGACAGAAGGTAGGAGAAAGGAGGTATCACTATTCTCATTTTACAGATAGGGAACGGAGGGGAAAAAAAGTTTAAGTCACTTGCCCAAGATCACACACAAATTTGTGGCAGATCCCTGAGTCCCAATCCAGTGTCTTAGTCACAAGATCACCCTTCTGATGATAAGATTTTTATATTCCATAGGATTTAAAACAATCTTTGGAAAACCACAAAGTTTGATAAAAACAATCTCCAGTGGATTTCCATAGTGATTGTAACACAGATAAGCATCTGAATTTTTGGGAGATCAGAGAAACATCACCTTTGGAAGTTCATCCATCAATTGTAAATATTAAAAATGACTATTATAAATAAGAATTTGTCCTGCATTTGGAAGGAGAAAGGTTAAACCTTCTGTCATGAATGTCACCCGCAGAGACTGGTGTGAAGTAACAAGCCATGTTTTATCTAATTTGTCATCCAGAGAATAAATGTAGTTAGGTAAGGAAAACCTGTCTCGCTGATTCGGAGAAAGCAATCAGGTAACATATAACTGACTCTCCTCAAGAGCCAGAAAAAATCCAGAGACCTGAAAAGTTTGGACACAGATCCAAGAGATACCCCAAATTCTGGTAAAAGGGAACTGAATTGTTCCTTTTACTCCTGGCCTAGAGGGCACTGAATTGTTAGTGTTTTCCTTGCTAGAGGACTGAGCTGCTTCCATTTCCCTGGATCTGAGACACATTTTGAGGTTTGAGGCCATGTCTACACTAGCACTTATGTCAACAAAGCTTTTGTCACACAAATAGCATGACAGACAGGAATGGCGGAGCCTTGTTTCTGCCCTAAGTGATATCAGACAATAAGTAAAGGATTCCAAATCACAATTGCACCGAAAGAGCTACTAGTCTCTCTCTTTTCAGGAGCATTTACTCAAAACTTTTGAGGGAGCAAAAATATATATAAAGAAAATATATATATATATATATTCAGGAAGGCAAACCCAGTCTTCAATGCAATTTTTAATATCAATTACAACAGATGCAACACAGACTGAAAAATGTCAGCAAAATCAAGATTCCGACTAGTACTGTAGTCAGTCTAACTTCTGTGTGAGATGTACCTTGGTACTCCCTATCCATTTACACTCTTTCTCCCAGCAACAGTATTAGGCCCCAATTCTGCAAAGACTTATGCATGTTCCATTCCTCATGGTAGTAAAGCAAAGCACATGTGTAAGTGTTTGCAGGGTTGGGAACCAGAACTGGAGTGCAAAGCTTACATCTTAATTTTGTAGTTTCCATCAGTTTGTTTATCATCTATATTTTCAGTAAAACATTCCAGAAACATTACTGGAATTGAAATTAGGATTAAAAATATGCAAATATCTGAACAACTAAGAAAAAAACATTGAAATATAGGTTTGACTACATGATGTTTTAATGTACTCCAGCTGGGATGTAAATTCTAGCGCCCATCAGCATGTCACGCACTAACTGACCTATATGTAGGGTGACCAGATGTCCCGATTTTATAGGGACAGTCCCGATTTTGGGGTCTTTTTCTTATATAGGCTCCTATTACCCCCCACCCCCGTCCCGATTTTTCACATTTGCTGTCTGGTCACCCTACCTATATGGATCCTGCTAGCACGCACTAAAGGTTCCCTACTTCCTGTAAACGTAGTACTGTTTGAAATGGGACTATGTTAATGGAGACTAGGGAACTTTTAGTGTGTGCCAGCCAGGTCCCACATGGACCAATTAGTGCTGGTGCACACTAGAAATTACACCCCAGCTGGTGCACGCTTTCACACCATGTAGACCAGCCCACATTAAAACAAGCTGAGAAGGGGAACTAATTCCACAGCATGGCATAGACATTTTTACTCAAAGCTGCAGAAAATTTTACGTACATAATCAAAAGACTTCATTTGTCTATGGGAACAAAACAGTCAAATTAAGGGGTAAGTATAAATGACTCATTCAAAACATATTACAATTTCAAAATGTTTTATTAGAATTGTCAGATAAAATATTTAACAAGATTATTTCTTAATGTGTGAGAGATTTACAGCTAATGGTACTTTTCCAGTGATACTTTCTGTAAGGAAGATGATAAGACAAGAGTATTTTAAGAGCCTTTTGTTTTCCTGATTAATGCTTCCATCATATCCCACTGCTCATTGGTAACCTACATAATATAAGAAGAAATAGCATTTCACTTGGGTCTGTATACAATTTTATATAAATTTTTAAGTATGTTTGTATTTAAATAGTATGCATGTAACTTATTACCTTTTTCAGGTCATTGAACTCTCCAGCCATAGAAACATATTCTCCACCATCCATTCTAATAACCTAGGGGAAAAGGAAGCAATGCACTTAAGACTGGTGCTTTTTTATTAAGCTCCTGTATCATTAGCATTCTCATATATCAGGGTTCACCAACCTCAACTTGTGCAAATTCAGATTTAAAAAATACACTCAAAATAAATGAATGCAACACTTCTTATAAGAACAGGCTCTGTGCTTTAAAGCCATGCAGGGGTCTCAAACACGCAGCCCATGGACCGAGTTATTTCCTGCAGCCCGCCATAGCTCCCCTCACCTGCAGTCCTCCCCACCCCCTGCCTCAGCCTCCCAAGCATGCCGCATCCCTGCTCCTCCCCCGCCCCGGAAAGTCTTTCCAGGAGGGAGGGAGGAGGAGCAGGGATGCCGCACGCTCATGGGAGGAGGCGGAGAAGAGGTGGGGCTGGGGTGGGGATTTGGGGAAGGGATTAGAATAGGGGCAGGGAGGGGGCAGAGTTGGGGCAGCGACTTTGGGGAAGGGGTTGGAATTGGGGCAGGGCAGGGGTGGGAAGAGGCGGGGCAGGGCCTCATGGAAGGGGTGGAATGGGGTAGGGTCGGGGGTGGGCTTTTGTATCTTTGTATGAAAAGGTGTCAGTTATGCGGCCCTCAGGCCAATGTACTAGTCCTCATGTGGCCCTCATGGTGATTTGAGTTTGAGATCTCTGAGCTAGAGTGAAGTATAATTAAGGCTAAGAGTTTGTCATGAATATTTTTAGTATAAGTCATGGAGAGGTCACGAGCAATAAAGAAAAATTAGTGGAAGCTGTGACCTGTCAGTGACTTTTACTAAAAATATCCCTGACAAAATGGGCATCTGTGGGTCCCCACCCCACTTGCAACGGGGCAGCTGTGCCGCGGCTAGGAGCTCTGGGAGCCCCCACCGCGGGTTGGGTGTTGGAGCTCCAGAATCCCCCGCACCCCACGACTGGGAGCTGCGGGGGCTGAGCCGCCTGCAGCTTCGGGAGTCCCCCACCACCTGCGGGGGTTGGGAGCTGTGGGGTACCCCCACAACCCTGAGGGCCCGCTGCAGCTAGAAGCTCAGGGGTTCCCCTGCTGCTCCTGTGGGCTGGGAGCTGCAGGGTGTCCCACTGCCAGCAGCTCCAGGGGCCTCCATCACCCACGGCAGCCGGCAACTCGGGGGCTCCCCTGCCACCCGCCATGGCCTGGAGCTCGGGGATTTCCCCACCGTCAGGGGCGGCTGGGAGCTGCAGGGTACCCCCGCCACATGGGGCGGCTTGGAGCTCCGGGGGCTGCCAGAGGTAGCAGTGTACACTGCTGCTCCTGGCCCCCACGGGCAGCAGCAGACCCTGCAGCTCCCGAGTGCCACAGGCTGAAGTCACGCAGGTCACTGGAAGTCACGGATTCTGTGACTTCGCAACCTCCGTTACGAAATCGTAGCCTTAAATATAATCAACTGACTAGGTTAAAAATGAACCTAAGGTTTTCAAATTAGCAATTTCTTTTGCTTAAGTTCTCAAATACTCTACAGCACCTAAAGCTTCTTTAAAAGTTCTCAACACCACTAAGAACATCCTCTATAAGCTTAATACTGCTGACAGCATGAACTAGAATAACGAAAACTTACTGCTCCAGTAACCCAACTTGCATATTCACTACAGAGGTATGTGGCAAGATTTGCAATTTCTTCTACAGTTCCCAGACGGCCACAGGGAATCCTCCCAATCATTTCTTTCTCAAATTGACCTGTTGGGTCAAGACGGCTAAAAGCACCCTATAGAATTAAAAAAAAACAAAAACATTCAGCAAAATTTTATGAGTAACTAGTAAATAAATTCAAACTAAGATTTGATTCCTGGTTTCAGAC